AAGGCACCTTTCTTGGCTTGCCTCCCCTCGCCAGCACCGAGATGTTTTCCACGGTCTTCGGCAGTCTTGATTGTCTGGTGGGGGAATTATATAACTCTCGCACATGCGCAGGGAAGTTCATCTATTCTGGCAGCTCAATGCAGAATTGTGGAATAGCATCTTCTGCAATAAGCCTGGCTGCTTGCATTTATTTTTTTAAGTTCCAGTTTAAGGGACCTTGTCTTAAAGTCCCAAAATGCCTTGATGAGTAAGGAGGTGTGCTGACGAGGATTCTTTACACAGCTTTATGATGGCTTGTGCCATCCTTCCTAATCACTCAGAACCTTTAAAATATAGGACATCATCTGTATGGTGTGCAACTGACATCCTCTTTAAAGGGTGTGTAAACCCTAACAATTAACTTCTTTTATTTGCTCCCTTTTTGTTCTGTTAACCATTTGAGTCCTTGGCCGTTTTTCTAACTGATTCCCAGAGGGGAATACTGTACAGTATATCACTGTTACAGTGGTCTATTGCTGGCTGCAGTCAGGCAGCAATAGATCACTATAGCAGTGATTTGTTGATGCAGGGAAATGCTGGCCAGAGCTACAAAAGCTCTGTCCTGCCCTCTGTACTTAGAGGATGTGATGTGACATTACTACACTCCCAATGTAAACAGAATACAGAAGCATTCTGTTTACACTTGCTTTTACAGCCTGCTCATATAGAGAGGTCTGCTTCCGGAAAATACATGGTGGCAGTGGAAGTTTTGTGGGTAAAGGGTTAACTGCGGAGTTAACCAACCCTGGTGACGATCGCTCTCAGTCTGCTGGCCTGAGATTGTGTCCTGCGAGCTGGGAAATCTCTGCGCAGGGTGAGGCTGAGAGTGGTATCGCCACGTCCTTGTGACGCTCACGCTCGGTTCAGACTGGTGTATGGTCACGTGATATTGACGTACAGCGAGTCTGGGCTGGGCGTACGTCACATGCGGAACCATGTGAAGCTCAGGAGCTGATTCAATTTCAGCTCCTTGGCCTAGTGGGTTTAGCTTCCGCGCCAGTGGCGCAGTAAAGTAATTGCGACTGGTCACTGTTTTAAAACAGCACTGGGATGAATATCTGCTATCCCTGTGCTGTTGTAAAATGGCACTATAGGTACAAGTGGCTTTATGTGTTATTTTGTTATATTTTTCCAAAAGTGCAAAAATCCTGCAAGAAATCTTATCAGCTCATAACTTCCTGTGCTCTCTACTAGGCCTGCATGAGTATACTTTATATTGTTCTGAGGATTACAGGACTGCCCATCTATGTTGGGAGGTTCCAGATGTCCTACCCTGTAGAGGTAGAGTGCATTCTGCTGATCCTCATTGTTTGAGACTGACCCAGGCAGATGTGGTACGCTGTCCTGGTAAGACTTCTGGAAGACAATCTGTGAGCTGTGTCAGATCATCAAGATCTCCTGTCCCAAGGACAATTTTACCATTCTACTTCATGACCACTGGCTTTAACAGCATGGCTGTTAAAGATTGGTTTTGAGTTAGGGGCATCTATGAATGTGTGTTTCCTAACATGCTAGTAAGAATGTTTCTTGTAAAGTTTATCATCGGACATGGTAGACAAGCTTGACTTGGTGTGCATCTTGGGGCTCCCAGCCTAGGAGTTTCTCCATGGAACAAATACTCTCCTTCCTGCAGCTCTGTCTGGACCAGTGTTTGGGTCTCAGCACATCAAGGCACTTCTGCCAGGACTATCTTGTTCAGAGACCGTTGGTCTCCCACTACTTGATTTAGACCTTAGTGCAGAGAGTATCCCCTGTAGTTCCCCCTGTGACTTTGTGGGGTTTGAGTCTACTTCTCTCTGTGTTTTAAAGATCATTGTGTGAACCCATCAGAGACATTGTTCTCTCTATTCTGAACCACAAGGTGGTTTTTCTCCTAGCCATCACATCTATTAGGCAAGTGTCTGAATTGGTGGCCTTGTCCTGCAAGGTACTCCTTGTTTTGCATAGGGACAAGGTGGGGTTGAGACCCAGGACTTCCTTTATGCATAGGGTATTTTTTGCTTTTCACCTTAACCAGAATATTGTATTCTCACCCAGTTTATCAAAAGGAAATCTCCCTCTATCGTCTGGATGTGGTTCGGGCAGTGATAGTCTATCTCTCAGCCTCTGCTTTTTTTTGAAGTACTGATTCTTTTTGTATTCTGTGTGGGTACGCCGGCTTTTCTGTTCACCATCTCTAAGTGACTCAGGCAGACCATCATCCAAACAAATGGTCTTAAGTAGGGATGCACCGGTACCGATACTAGTATCGGTATCTGTGCCGATTACGAGTATTTGCACAAGTACTCATGCAAATCCTCCGATGCCTAAACCGATACTTGCGTCTCATCTATCGCTGATGAAGAACCGCCAAAACCGCCGACTCCAGGGACGAACAACCACCGCAAACGCCAACTCCAGGGAAGAAGAATCGTCCACTTCCCTTCAGGGTGATGAGGTCATTCCCAGAAGTGATGCGCCAGTCAGCCAATCAGCGGGCGGAAAGGACGAGGTGACTGACTGCATGACAGGGAGTGGCTGCAGGAGACGGAGTCAGCACTGAGGCTGGTAAGATGGCCCGGCCACATGTAATAAAAAAATGTAAAACAAAAAACTCCACTACCAGTACTAAATGCTAACTCAATGCTCCATAGATGATGTGATCTTCAAAAGATACAAACAGGAGCGCATTCACTTTACCAGTTGGGTGTAGGATGTGTTATAAGAGAAATGCTGTGGGGGTAGGGTGCAGAAGGGATTGTTTATCTGTGGAAAGCTGTGGGTCTCAGTGGTGGGGGAGAGTGGGTCTGTTCGGGACAGTAGAGAAAAGTGAAGAGAGAGCCGCTGCTGTCAGTGTCCCAGCTGTGCCACTGATCTGCCGGTCTGTGACCGGGGTTGTCAGCGCTGTATCAGACATTGTCCAGACTGTGAGGTGTCAGACGTAGATGGCTGTTCCTGACAGGAAGATCGTTTGGTGACCTCTAAGGTCGCTTGGTCAATGTGAGTTTTGTGAGAGAAGTTAGGAAGGCTGTCTCCAACAGAGATGTGTACTGATGGTCAACCTGGATGAATCTCAGGGTGAAGGAGAGTGGGAGATAATGTAATCTGCCTAGTCCATTGATTTGTACTATATTTTCCTGTTCTTTGCTGGAAATCAATATTGAATTTGTGATTGCATTTGTATATTGAAAAAATATATACTTTATTCATGTATAAGGGAATTTGTCCTCACATTCCCCACCGCCTCGATTTCCTCTACCAAGCATTTCTTTACGCAATGAATTGCCTTGGTGGACTAAGGATGTGCACAGAGGGTTACAAGGATGAACACAAAGGAAAGAATAAGGTTAATCTTAGTGCTGCTTCACACCACAAACAGTGCGTTCCAGAGCGGTCAGCCTCTGTAACGCCCTGTATCACATTCCGGCCAGCTTCCTGCGTTCAGTGGTGGTGTGCTGAAGTTAATGGCACCGCAGCCACACCCCCAGTGCTATCGCCCTTTACCAGAACGCGTGGCACATCGGTGCCTGCATTCCGGTCCAGTGCGATCTGCAAAAATAGTGTTTGTAGCATTTTTGCAGTTTGCACTGGACTGGAAGTACAAGGGATATGCAAGAGAAGATGCTATGCATAAATCATTAGTCTATATTGTTTTAGAAAATATGTCACCGTTCCCTTTAAGAAAAAGTATGGGTAATTGGTATCGGTGACTACTTGAAAAAAGTATCGGTACTTGTACTCGGTCATAAAAAATGGTATCGGTGCATCCATAGTCTTAAGGAACAGGATCCACCCTGTCCTGTAAAGGCGCATTCTACTAGATCTGTGAGTGCTTCATGCAACTTTTCCCAGTTTGCAAGGCTACCACCCAAGTCTACTATTTTTATGTTTTACCTGGTGGATATTCAGGCCTCATCTGATGCTAGCTTTGGGCATTAGGTCCTTCATGCAGTTCTTTGAGCTGTAGGCCATCCTCCATTTTTTGTTGTCTTTTCTTGGATTGCTTTTGGATGCCCTGACAGTCTAAGAACTCCAAGAATTCCTGTGTCCCTCAATGGACAATAAAGAAAACAGGTTTTAGTTTTTCTTGTACTCTCCGTAAAATCGTTTTCTTAATTGAGGGACACAGGTCCCTCCTCCTCAGTGTTTCTTTCATGTTCTCAGTACTAATTTGCTACAAAGCCGAGACAAGATGGTTGTGAGCGAGGTTATCCTGTGCTGGCTAATAATTTTTTTGTTGTCAGTGTTCATTTCTTCATATTTCTTTTTTATTTGTAGTTTTTTATTTTATTACAGAAAATAGTTAATAATATGTACAATTTTAATATGAAAAGGAATAAATGTATTTTTTCATTTGACTCAAATGTTAAAAACCTTATCAATTTGTTGAGTAGGTGTAAACATTTACTGACATCTAATATTGGAGGAGAACCACAGATAAATGAATGTCAAATTTTCTTTTGTTTTTGTTTTTTTAACTTTATTTTACTTTCACATACCACACATTTTCCTTCAATTACAGTGGGTTATAAAATAACATTACAAAAACGTAGCCCACAGCTTTCACATAACACATATATTCTTTTGATTACACTGGATTATACATTTACATATTAAAGGCTTAGCCCACACCTAGCATGTTTTTTTGTAGCTTCTCATTTTGTTATAGTAAGTAGTTTCATAATATGTACAATTTTAATATGAATAATAATATGAATAAATCTATTTCTCAAATAAACTGATAACTTTTGTGTCACATAAAATCTTCATTGCTGGTAGATATAAATATTCTGTTTATTACTCTTTTTTTTTTTAATATGTTCTCTCATATACAATTTATAGCGTTAACACATTGCACAGCACTACCTAAAGGAGTCTATGGTATACTGCCCTACGCACAGCCTCCTTTTAATATGAGCCAATAAGGGCCTGTATTCAGATCATGGATCATGGCTTCCTTCTACCAGAAACTGAAGGTAGTGCTAATCATTTTTGTACTCCACGTAAACTTGCAGCATTTTGTTTCTGTATTCCACTATTGCTTGAGTACTGTCTTCATCTATCTGTCTATTCTGTGAATGAAGTACAGAGTAAATGCTTCCTTGCCAACTCATACAGTAGCATTCCTTGCTCAGGTTTCCACAGTCCTGTACAGCGTGCACAGTACTGGTATAGCCTGGCAGACTAAACTTGGCCTTTCTTACATGGCTCTCAAACGTCAATGGGTGCACTCTGTATATCACAGCAGGGGGCAAATCATTTGCGTCTTCACCCTCATGGTCTTTGGGATATACATCATTGCTACATTGCATTCCGCAAGAGCCAACTGTTATCAGGAACACGGGGATGAATAGCAGACCATGAAGGGCACCAAATAAAAGTACGAGTAACATGATTTTAAAAAAGGTTCTGAAAATGTAACTTTCTGCTGCAGAAAGGGCCGAAATCCCCAGGATTGTGGACAGAGCCCCCTGTACTATGGGGTAACCAAGTAGGTGCAGTGCATCAATCATCCTCTCGTTGACACTTCTCTTTCTATTAGCCACGCATGCATACACAATATGAGCTGAAAAGTCAACAGAGAATCCAATGCAAATGACCAAATTGATCATCGATATTGAATCTAGGTTAACTTTCCAGAAAGACATAAACCCTGTCACACCAGCAATGATTGATGCAATGTCAAATGTCACCCATAAGGAGCACAAGGGATCTGGAATTAACAAAACTGAAATGACAAGCATGACAGCAGTAGCCACTATAATATTCTGGATTGTGTTTTGAATTATTACAAAATATTGATCCAAGTAAATGAATAATGGGTGATAAACAATTACCTTAAAGCTGCAATTATTAGCGATGTCTCGTAAGTGGGTTAACATAGCTTTTGCATTGTCGACATTGATTACATTAACAGCCTGGATAAAAAACCTGGAGGCCTTAATTTCACCTCCTTCTAGCCTGATATCCTGCCTGAAATCGGAAGAATTTTCAAACATTTTATCCAAGTTTTTCAAAAAAATTTCCTTAGTGCTGATGTTTAGATTTTCTCTCTTAGACATTTCTTCATAGGCTCTCAGCCAGGATGTGGAATATCCCTTGGCAATATAGCAGTTATTTTCTAAGCTCTGAATGCAAGTTTCAATGACATCTTGAGCCTTTGTTTCCCAATAATCAGCTTTACTAGTCACCACCACCATAACCCTTGGGCCATACTCTGAAAAATATAACGCTTCTATATCATAAAAGTGAGTCAGGGAAGAGTTGGCTTTAGCCAAATCTCGGATATCAATTCCATCTTTCGTCTGAACACAACCATAAATGCTAGCGGAAAGGTATAGCAGATATATAATCAGCACCAATACCTTAGCCCAAGGCTTGGTGAGGAAAGGACCATAGTATTTATAAAAGAAGATGGTGATAGGATGCTCAGTCTCTTTCTCCTGCGAGGTGTCCAGTGCTTCTCCAACACAGCATGCATTGTACAACCAGCTCTGCTCATTATCCCTCTTGTCACTTATTTTCATACAAACTAACCAATGTCTGTTGTTGTTTTCATGGATTCTATTCAAAGCCAGAATAGCGCCAAAAAATGTTATGCAGTAGATGTAACAGAAAACCAGAGCTGTCCCTGTGTAGATGCAGAATGATTTGACGGATGGGAAATGGGTCATTATTCCTATGTAGAATGCCAGCACATCAGTGAGAGTGGTAATGGTGATAGAGACAGCTGCCTCTTGATAGGTATCAGCCATTCGCTCTTCTACTGTGCTTGTCACTTTAGTTTGTTTCCAGCAGGAGATTATAATGAACATGTTGTCTACTCCAACTCCTGCAAAAACACGAACACAAAATTGAACAATGTCAGGCACGGCACGTGCAAAATATACTGCAAACAGACATGTGTATGGGACTATGTTCAGATTTCATGAGGTCAGGATGGTACAAATATGAAAAATATGTAACTGAAAATGGAAAAATATGTTTTTATTATTTATATTTTTTTGTTTTTTAATAATAATGTTGTAAATAAAAGTGACAACATTGTCTTTTATCAGAATGTGGGTTGTGACACATTATGGAATTCAAGGCCAGTACAAAAAATTATTAACCTACAGTAAATAAAAATACAACTCATTTAGTTTGACTTACCAAGTATAAGAAATGGCGCATTTGCGACTGTTCTGGCAAAGGGTACTTTACATAATAAGAGTAGCCCAAAGCTGGCCATGATGGCTAATCCAGGTGATATCACGCCAAATGTTATTACCCAAATTTTATTTCTCACGTTGTCCAAGCTGAAATAAAGATACAAGGATATTTTTTTCACCATGTTATCTACAATTGATAGCCTTATGTCTTCTTCTACCATTGTAGACCATCTTTCACCAATTCACATATTGTAATAAAATTTCATGTAATCAATTACAACTGATTAAACATTTCACATCTTCTTTTGTAATAGTCAATGGTCTTTTGTGTTAAAAGTTCAACTCCCCTCTTAAAATTATTTAATAGGATATATTTCTATGATTCCAACTAATTTATAGGATATTAGGTATCAACATTCCTTGAAAAAAGGCTTTGTCAAAGACAGGTAAAAACAGGGGCTACTGTAAAAAACATGGAGGTACCCACTATTATTAAGGAAGGGTGACATTTAAACTAGCTAACTAGATATGGTGGGCTAGTCTGAATGTTTAGTAAGTGAGGAAAATTCCTGATTTGGATTTCTAGAGATTTTTGTAAAATTATTTCTTTAAAGACAAAACAACGTAGGTCACTTGTATTCTGCATATAACTGTAGATATAAATTGTGGCAGTGTACATAAAGTATTATAAAAAGGATTATAACCAACATTTTGCTGAAATTTCCCATATGGGACACTTTTACCAGGATGCCCCTATGACCATGCATCTTTGTGGTCTCCTCGTTTTCTATGCCTTTTATTAAAATAATTGTGTTTATTTTCCATTACAAAAACAGTGATTTTTTATTTATGAATATCTGGAGACTTACAAAAGAAAAAATTATTTAAAAAAAAAATCAAGAGCACCCCCTTGCCCTGAAAATTGGCAATGCTAGATTGTGGATTGCGTGGCAACAGTAGCAGCAAGACAGACTCTGAGACAGAAGTACTCCAAGTACAACTTAATACATTCCTCCATCAGCTGCTGGAAAGTAGCACTGCAGCAGAATGAAACCTGCTACTGACCAATTTTCAATTGTGTGTCTCTTCAGAAAAAATCTGTCTCATGTCCAGTGATAACTCTCAAACCTGTGCACATCTGTTTTAAGCTACCCATAGACATCTCAGATGTTCACTGAGATTTAGCAGGAATCAGATGAAATTCCAGATGTGGATGGCCTTGAGCACGCTATCCGGCTCGACAAAAGTTGATTTACAAATTGACTGAGCCTGATGGAAAATTGTCAGTCAAACAGTAGTTTAATTATATCAGATGGTTCTGTAATTGTCTTATTTATTTTTTTGATAAATGTTCCCCATTATGTTTGGTATTCTGGGGTGTGCCAATACATGTTATTTTCAGGGTGGGTTTTCACAGAGTTAGAATTTGTTTCATGACACCCTCTCCAGGTCACTTAAATCCCTTTTTCACATTCAAAAAAACTCTTCATGAAAGTACAAAATATATACAAACACAGTGCTATAATTCACAGTTTAGTCTCCGTGTGACGATTTAGTGAACAGATTAGGATGACATATTACAAATGACAAAGTGCATCAATTTGCATTATCAACGCAAACTAAGAGCAGCAAAGCTAAATCAGCACAGAAAGGGGAATAGAAAAAAGGCTGGAAGAGGTAGATACATATATCCTTTTTTTAATTAAATTGAACTTTACTGGGATATACTGTAGATATAATGAACAAACTGTATCATTATTTTTCCTTTAACATGTGTATATACAGTATTTGTAGGCTGAAAATCAGTTGTGCATCTGGCTGTTTCCTTAATATATTATTCAGATTATTAGGGTACTTTCTATATCTTTAAAAAAAAATTATAGTTCAATCTACTGTAATTTCAGTCTTAGCCCCCTTTACATGGGCATCTGTCAGTTCCAATCAGCAGGGGATCAGTGCACGGATCCGTACGGAGCAGTACGGATGTTACCGTTGTGAACACTGAATTTACCGAGCCCATGTTGGTCTATGGGGAGTCAGATGTAAGCAGACGTGTTCGCTTACATCAGATTACCATTGATCCTTCACAATCAGGTCTGCCAAAATGGAAATCTGTTCTATTTGGTTTACCAGAACTGGAGGGAGTGCCAGGTAATCAGATGTAAATGGACGCATGTTAAGTATTTTCTTAGTAAATAAAAGAAAGCTGCCAATCTGCTTGTTAAATAGTCACATAATACATTTGCAAGGTCAGTCATGGTCATGGAATAGTATTAAATATTCCCTATATTTTTTTCCACTACTTGGATTTATGCATACATACTTATTCCACTAAAGATATAAATAGATATGGAATGAATGCATTCTCTCACCTGGCACAAGACACAATGGAGAAGAGGATTGTCACAACATAGGTGATTGAAAACAATGGGATCACTGTTTCTGTGCTTTCTTCAAACTCAGTTTGCAGAGAAATAGATGTTGAGTGGTAAACCTAAGATCAGCCAAATATTAGTTGATTTTCAACTTATTAGGGAAATTAAAGAATAAAATCTCTCTCTCTCTCTCTCTCTCTCTCTCTCTCTCTCTCTCTCTCTCTCTCTAATTCTTCCGTTATGCACCAACAACTTTCCAGAATGGTCGAGCTAATAATTAAATTATCATAATCGTAAAGAGCTTCTATTATTCAGAGGAATAACAATGCAACTATGAATGCCCAAATTTATAAAAATACATTGATGCCATACTTGAACATACCTTTATGTATCTGAGGTGCAATTCTTCTATCAGGTGAGAAATGGATTTCATAAAGTGATTAAGCCATTCGATACTGATATGGACTGTATCGCTGTCCTCTCTCAGGTAGTACAGGAATCGCAGGGCCTTGGCCTTCAGCAGAACATTGTCTGGACCCAACAGTACACCTCCAACATAAAGTCCCACAAATACACCATTATGGAGCTGTGGGTAAGTTAAGAGGACATCTTTGTTGTTATTTTGCTTTAAGGTGAATACAGGGTTGGCTGAGACACAGGTGGAGCCATTGACTTGAGCACAGAGTTGGTTGAAGTTAGCTCCAGACTTTGAGGTCAGGTTTTTCACAGCCATGTCCAGCTTTTGAAGTTCCTTGACAACACTTGCGGTAAGGATATTGTCTGACGTGCTCACAATAATGAGAGATGCAAAGGTGCCTGGCGTGTAAAGTCTTTGTGCCGAAAACTGCCCCGAGTCATTAATGGGAAAATTCATTCTGATGAACTCTCTCTGAATTTTTGCAATTCCTTCGTCTGGAGTAAATAACTCTTCTAGTTTATTAATCTGTCTCTGCTCCAGAAAAAACAATCCAACTCCCAATCCAAAAGAAATTATTAGGGGAGTAATAAAAAAACACCAGGGGGTTTTGGCAATCAGTTTCCCCAGTGTTCGGAATCCCTGGGAAAGTGGTTTTACTAAGCAGTCTGCATGGCAGCCACTCATTTTTAATCAATTTCAAGTATAATACTTGTTACATTAAGAACATTAATAATTTAGGATTTGGTGCCTTTCAAATCACTATACCTGTTCTAAAGAAACATTTCTCACATTCTCGAAATATCATGAATAAAAGATTCTTCATCCAGTACTGTGGATTTATATATCTGATATGCCCTCAAATTACTTATCTGTTAGTGGTGGCTAATTAGCCAGATGATGAAGTTCACATCAATAAATACAATTATTCATATGACAGGTTAGGTAAAAGGGTTTAATTAATTGCAATGCATTAATGGCTCGGAGCACTGGAACATTTCCAACCTGCCACCTACCATAGACAAATATACCTGATCTCTGGTATCAGTGGTACACTGATTCTCAGTACCAGTTTAACGAAGAATATATGTAAAGTGGTACTAAACTCACAAGTTAAATCTTAAAAATGCATTTAAGTACCTTAACTATTAACAAAAATGTATCATATTTGTGTATCACTCGGCTGCAGATCATCAAATCATCTCTGAATTGGTGCTGACACTGTCCTTCATTCTGGAGGGGGGCTACTTTTGTCCCCCATGGTCCATGTATGTAATAAAGGAGCCACCAGTCCAAGTTCACTCCCGTGATGGACTACAATCTCAGGTCTACTTTACTCATTTGTATTGAGATTGTAGTCCTTCAAAGGTGCAAGCTTGGAGTGGTGGCTACTTTACAACACACAGAGGGACCATGGGGAAAAAAGTAGCCACCCTCCAGAAGGAAGGACAGTGTCAGCACCAATTCAGAGATGATTTGAGCATCTACAGCTGAGTGATAAACAAATAAGTTAGATTTTTGTTAACATTTAAGGTACTAGAATGTATTTTTAGGGTTTAACTCCTGAGTTTAGTATCACTTTAAAGCATAGCTAAATCCAATAACAAAAATGTAATATATTGAAGCTTAACTGTCCTTAGATGTGGTACCTGCATTCGTTTTTTCAAGCTTTTTATTTCACTTGCAAATCCTGCCAGGAAGTGTAACACACCTACTATGCTAAATTGACAATGCTTACTCACTGTACTGTATCTGTTGAGGGGTGGTTTTCTCACCCTTGGCTGCTCTCCTAATTCGGACTACTCCCCCCTCCTCATCTCCCTAACATAGTGGGGAGATTTTGTGTGGTTCACAGAACAGAACTGGGAAGGCTGATTACATTGTTTAAGATTTCATTGGAAAGGAAATTACAAGAATCAGGGACTTCTGGCAGGATCAACAGGTTGTGCAGAAAATGTATTTAGCCTGAAAAAAGAAAGCTAATGTATGGATGTACCCCCTATCACCTCCTGAATTAGTGTAGTGTATTTTTCGGTTCTTAGGTTCTGTATTATTTTTCAGAAGTAAAGTGTGCTCATGGGTCATTTATTTGTTTCATCCACCAGACTTTCTGTAACAAAGTATTGTGCTGGGGTTACATCATATCTGACTAAGGTTTTGTGATAAGCCAATCATTGCAGAGCGAGTGTCATCAGTAGGAAGGGTTGGCTATAACAAAAGCCCTGAGCATGCTGAGTACTGTCTCTTATTCCCCACTCCCAAGTTAGGAAGTTACTGCTTAGGTGCTTGGCTGCTGCCCAGGCATGAGGGCTTAGGCCTTCAAGGCCTATCCTCATGGCCTACCATGAGCTAATGTACTTTACTAGATTCTGAACAAGGACCTTACCCATGCTGATTGTATCCATGGGGACACTGGAGTAACCACCCAAACCTCCATTGGTCCAAGCTGTAGTCAAGACCTGACACTGAACACACACTGAAACCTTTGTGGGAATGGGTTCACTTCTAATCTATAGAGAGAGAGAAGCTTGACTTTTCGTACAGATAATGTCAGTAAAAGCTACCAGGACTTACTACTACTATTTTTGGGTATCCCAACCCTTCTTTTCCTCAGTTCCACTATTCCAAATAAATATCCATGGACATCCATGGACTTTGATATTTTCATTATTAATAGAGAACCTGTAACTGTGAGTAAAATGCCTGGGGACAAGGTAATTCTCATCTGGGGGTCCCACTTGTAAACCACAAGGCCCAGTTGGGTAGTGCAACTGCCATTATATATTCCAGTCCCATTCTCCCAGAGCTCAGAGGCTCAAGATTTCCTAGTTACCTACAGGTGTGCAGTGGTAGCTAATTGGGGAGGGTCATCTAACATGACCCCCCTTCTGAAACAGGGCCACACTAATTCTACCACAACATAAGATGACTGGTAAGCTGCACCTTAAAGAAAAATGTTCTTAGATTTAGATGTACTTCCTAAAGAAGAAGTATAGGCACAATAAGAAATGACATACTATATATCATGCAATCTATCAATAGCGTTATCACAGCAGTTGTTTTTCTGAGTCTCCCTGTAACACAGTTTTAAAGGCCATATAACATTAAATATAGGTGCTTGCAATGGTCAGATTTTATTAATTGGTTTAAACTTTTCTCAAAAAGAAACAACCGTGTTGCTCTAACTGATTTAATGTGTTAGCTGTGTTGCAACACTGCTGTGATATTGCAGAAAAAACAGCTTTGTCACCCATTACAGAAAGTAAAAAAATAATAGATACATAATACATCGATGGACATTTTTGTTTTTTAATAAAGGACTTATGAACAACTGTTTTGTGTTTTTTTTCAAATAAAGGAATTTTGAGCACGGTGAAGTGTGTTTATTTACTATTTTACTGTTATTTGGTGAATGAGTAGGGATAACAACTACCCCGTACTCATTCATGTGTGGGGAGTGGGATCTGAGTGCCCCCTTTGTGAAAGGGGGCACCCAGATGCAGATGAGCCCCACCTGTCCGCAGACTCCCACAACCACCGGGCCAGGCCTGTGGGGAAGAGGCCCATGTCCTCATTAGTGATGGGCTGAACACACCTGAGTTCGGTTCTAACTCGAACTTTCGAACATGGAAAAAGTTCTAACTCGAATTTAGAACTCAGTGTAACTCTATGGGACCAGAACTCGGAAAATCAAAAGCCCCAATCATTACTTTGCCCATTCATGGCTCTTATAGAGCCCTGTGCCGTGATTGGGCAAAGTGTTGCACCTGACCTGTGGTCAGGTGCATTGCTTTACACAATCAGGGATCTCCACTGCACTATGCAGTGCACAGTGTATTGAGGGGAGCTCGGTGGGCGAACAGGCCGGTGAACGCCCTGACAGTTCGTATGTTCGCTGAACACACGAACTAGCAATGTTCGAGTCAAACTGTTGTTCAACCCGAACATCGAGCCCATCTCTCGTCCTCATCAACATGGCAAAGCACCCTCCCCATGTTGAGGGCATGTGGCTTGGTATGGTGCAGGAGGGGTGCACAATCATTCTCCCCACTTTCCTACTCTGTCAGATTGCTGCTCAGATCAAAAGTCTGGTATGAATTTTGAGGGGGACCCCAAGCTTTTTTTGTTTTTGCTTGTGTAACACATTTCAGTTCATTTCGTTCAAATTTTCAGTAGTATGATATTTTTTCCATTCAGAAATGCAAATGCATCCGAATGTCCGAATATGCCGATATTCGTCCGAATTCCAATTTGGAAAAAAACTAATCTTACATGTATAGTTCTCTCTGCTCCCTGCTTCCCTCTCACAGGGAACCTTCTTTTTTCATCCTTACATTACACATTAAAAGGTAGGAAAACTGCCAAGGGGTACCTGAGATGCTCAAAAAATGACCTTAAGGAGTTCACAGGTCTGCTGTGAACTTTATGGATGAATTGCTTTCACATTTCCTGCAGCTATAGAGGTCTTCTCTGTGTTTTTTTTAATAATAACTTTATTTATTGAACATGGCATGAACACAATACAAGGCTCAATAAGATATAAGATAATAAAACGCATATTTTGTGCAATACAATCAAATGGTAGCATTAATAAAGCAGAGTGGAGAAAACAACATTATAAAATAAGCAGTTATCTGAAAAAAGCACCTGCATAGGGTCCAGGTACCACGTCCATATAATTTATATTACATAGGAAAACATTTGAATTTTTTAAATGGCTAATTTTGCACTGTGTGATCATTCTTAAATTCTGTTTGTCAGTGTGTTTTAGGTTTGTACTTCACCAAATATATTAGGCTCCATGCACATATTGCAATGGCGTTTCCCGCATAGTTTTTGGTGCGGAAGACCGTGCAGGGCAAAAGCACAAAAAAATGTAATCCGCACGGATTCCGCTCATTTGCGGCCATTAAATAGGCGCAAAGGTGCACAATCCGCCGTATTATCGCGCTTGCACTATTTTGGACCACTATGGACAGTCGGGATCTGCAATACATTTCTCATTCGTATAACAAGTTGTTCTATTGTGTATTTTAGATTCAGAAAATGAAAGCTGTAAATCTGAATTTTGTGGGTCACTTTTAATTTGTGGCAGATGTATTCCCTTACTGTCAACTTGTTTTTTGCCACATGTTCCAAATAATGCTAAGAGCACTGGAAGAACGACCAGCCCATGGAGCATTCCAAAGGCAATAACAAGGAAAATAATCTTGAAAAATGTTCTGAATATGTAGCTCTGTGAAGTGGAGAGTACTATGACCCCCAGGATGGTGGAGAGACCTCCCTGCACTACAGGATAGCCGAGAGAGTGCAGTGCATCTTTCACCCTCTCATTAGCTGTGGATTTCTCGCTGGAAACAAAGGCATATGAAATATGGGCTGAGAAATCTACTGAGAACCCAATACAAATAACAAGGTTGATCATAGATATGGAATCTAAGTTAACATTCCAAAGAGCCATGAAACCAGTGACTCCCACTATAATAGACGCGATGGTGAATGTCACCCATATGGAACACAGAGGGTTTGGGATCAACAATAATGAAATAACAAACATCACAAGAGTAGCTAGAGCAACATTTTGAATTGTGTTTTGGATGATTACAGCATACTGATCAAAGTATATAAATGCCGGATGATAAACAAGAACAGGGACCTCACAGCTCTTTGCTGTGTCCCGAACCTGAATTAGCATGTTTTTCTCATCAATGGCAGACACAACATTCACAGTCTGGATGAAGAAACGAGAAGTGATTATAGCTGCTGACTGAATTTCCACATCTTGTTTAAAATCTGGGAAAAAAGTCAAGAATCTTGATAAATTTCCTACAAAATTATTTTTATCATTTACATTCACTTTAAGAAGTTCAGCAAACCCCAAGTATGCTTTCAACCAGGACTCAGAGAGGTCTTCACTGACATAGGGGATTGATTTAAATGACTCCATACACCTGCCAGTTTTATTACGGCTATCTGCATCCCAGTATGGGACTTCCTCTGTTACCACAACCATAACTCTGGGACCATAGTCATTAAAATATAAATCTTCATTGTCATAGAAAGAACGGACATAGGAGCTGTCAGTAGCCAAGTTCCGTAAATCAATTCCTTCCTGTACCTGAAAGCACCCGTATATGCTGACAGCCAAATATCCACCATATAGAACTAACACAATGACCATGGTCCAGATTGTTGTAAGAAATGGACCATAATATTTATGGAAGAAATTCGTCATGGGATGGTCTGTCTCTGTGCCAGTGTCTGCATTGAATCTTCCTCCAGTACAACACACATTATAGAAAGTGGAACGGCTGTCATCTTTTTTCTCTGGCACTTTTTTACAAACCAACCAGTGCCTGTTACTCTCCTCTCTTCTCCCATTAAGGGCTAAAACTGCACCAAAACAAGTGACGTTATACAGGAAGCAGAACAATATGGCTGTTCCGGTATAAATACAGAAGGATTGCACCGACTTAAAAGAAGTAATTATCCCTATATAGAAAGCTATGACATCTGTGAGGGTTGTGATGATTATAGAGACCGCAGCTTCTTTATATGTCTCGCCCATTCTTTCTTCAACTCCGCTCTTAACTTTAGTTTGTTGCCAACTGGAAACCATAATGAACATGTCATCAATTCCAACACCTATAAGGAAAGCATATTAATATGTCAATAAACCATAAACAGAAACAACACTGATTAAATGACATTCTTTTGGCCACTTTATTGGCCACCTAATCTAGGAGTACTATATCTATATATACTGTACAGTGGTAGCGCGGTTTACGAACGTTTTGCAAAATTTTGCTTCTATTCGCGAACTCCGCATCCGGTGACGAACACAATCGCAGCCATCTTCCCTGCTCTGACACTGGTCGTGGCTTCCTCTAGTCGAGATCGCGTTCTGATCACAGTTTGATTCGGTTCGCGACCAGAACATTCTAATTATTAACAACCACTCACAAAGCCATCCACAACTCTGCCCCCGGCTATATCTCAAACCTCGTCTCAAAGTATCACCCTAACCGTCCCCTCCACTCCTCCCAAGACCTCCTGCTTTCCAGCTCCCTAATCAACTCCCCCCATGCTTGCCTCCAGGACTTCTCTAGAGTCTCTCCCATTCTTTGGAACTCCTTATCCCAACCTGTCCGTCTATCTCCCACTCTGACTGCCTTTCGGCGATCACTAAAGACTCATCTCTTTAGGGAAGCCTATCCCACCTCAACCTAATTACTGAACTCTTTCTCAAACAATTCATCCCCACACAGCTACCTCCTCATGTATCACTTGCCCCTCCCTCTTAGACTGTAAGCCCTCACGAGCAGGGCCCTCCTTACCATCTTGTCTTGAATTGTATTGTAATTACAATGTCTTCACTATATTGTAAAGCGCTGCGCAAACTGTTGACACTACAGGTGAAACTCGAATAATTAGAATATCGTGCAAAAGTAATTGCAGTAATTGCTGCAAAAGGGGCCCAAACCAAGTACTGAGTACATATGCATGCTTGTACTTTTCAGAGATCCGATATTGTTCTATGTACAATCCTTGTTTTATTGATTGCATGTAATAATCTACTTTTTTGAGGTTGTGGATTTTAGGTTCTTGGGGTTTTTCATGAGCTGTAAGCCATAATCATCACAATTATGACAAATCACGGCTTGAACTATCTTGCTTTGCATGTAATGAGTCTATCTCATATATTAGTTTCACCTTTTAAGTTGCATTAGTGAAATAAATGAACTTAGCACGATATTCTAATTATTCGAGTTTCACCTGTATATAAATTCTGTATAATTATAATAATAAAGCATGTCCCTCACCTATGCGACCAATAAGCTTACAGTGCAGGAAGTTGCAAAGGCTAACCAACGTCCTTCCACTTTGGTAAGTGGGGGTGTCACCACATTTTTAGGAGCATTTGCCCACAGGTTTGGTTTGTGAGGGAATTGACTCCTGGACTTAAGCTTAGAGGTCTAGTAACTGTGTTTAGTTCCAGAGGAAGGAGGTTTTCTAGGTTGAGTATTAGCTTATTTTGCTGGGGCAAAAGGGTACTCTTTCCCCCAGTGACATCTTCAACCATTTAAGGATCATAGGATGTACCTGTACATACTGGTCTTTAAGTGGTTATACCAAGATCATAGCTGCTGTTGCAGCCGTGATCTTGTTATAATTTTTTAGAGCAGGCGGAGGGCTTTTGAGTACAATTGATCTGGGTTGCTACAGAGCTGCCCAGTCACTTGTACTGGCCTCTAAACATCCCCCCCACCATGGCTTTTGTGCTCTTCCACTCCTCGTAGGGGCCTGGGACCACAGCAAATAGTGTCTGCTCCCTGATCTGCTCTATGATCACTGTGCTCTCAGCACTTCCTGCTTCAGAGCTGTCTGAAGACTAGCTCAAATGCCAGCTAGACAGATGATCAAGCACAATTCTGTGCTTGTTCAGCTGCACTGGAGGGCAGGGGAGGCATTAGGGGTCCAATGAACCCCTGATATCATTATAAGGAGAACCTGTCACCTCCCAATGCTATCAAATAGGGGTTAGCACCCTTGTGATAGAAATAAAGTTAAGTCAAAATAAGTGTAAAAAAACATTTTAAAAGGTAAACAATAATAAAATAACTTAAAAAGCAGCCTGGCTGCCCCACCCACATGCAAATGCAAGCAAGCATGTAGGACTTGCATGTGTATATAAAAATCGATTGCGCCAAGTGAGAGCAATAATTCTTGGGCCATAATTTGCTGTTAACTCCAAATCAATGAGTGATAAAGGCTTTTAAAGTGTCGCCTATGGACAATTATGCGTACCATAGTTTTTCACCATTGCATGTGCAATTTTAAGGCTTGACATGTTTGGAATCTATTTACTCAACGCGACTCCATCTTTTATACTTTACCAATTTAAATATTATATTATGTGCACTAAAATTCATTTTAGTGTATCTTTTCCTAAAAATATCGATTTGATAAATATTTTCGCAAAAAATGCAGCCACCAGTTTTCCATTCTTGAGAAGCTCTGATTTCAGAAAATATATAATTGTTTAGAGGTATAAAGTAATTTTCTATTCAAAAATTTGGATACCGTGTGAGAAAAATGAAAAAATTGCTCCTGTCCGAAAGTGGTTAATAAGCTTGTCCAGGGAACTGCCAAAGAGTTGTTTTCCTTCAAAGGGCATAGGCAGTAAGTAGTTTTGAACTGTTGTTTAGCAGACCAACATTCAAGCTAAATATTCTTCTGTAACATAAGCCCTTTGGCACAATATTGTAATGGAAAAAGGCATGAGATCTAACTGCTGCAAAACCAAAGGATCTGACAAGATTGTGTCAGAAAGCATAGCAGGTCCTTAGTCCAGACCCCCAGGGTCCAGTGACGTGTGGTACCTTCCGTGCTGGGTGAGGCATTCCCCCTGCCCGTCGATGCCCCGTCCCATCCCACCGATACCCCAACCCAGTCACCAAGCTATGAGTGGAGGAGGGAGGTAGAAGGGAGAAGACAGGAAGGAGCCTCCCTGTCCCTCACTTGCTCGTCACTGGTGAGGCATTGAGATCAATCTCCTCAGTGGTTTTTATTTCTCTTTTTTGATTGGACAGCTTGGACCAATTTGCCATTTGTCCAAATCATCCACAGAGTTCAAGCCTCTAACACCAAGTAGAGGCTGTTGCAGCTCCTGTCTCACTATGTTAGGATACACAAGCAGTGAGGAAGCCCGCTGCTATGTAACATAACATAGCTGTCAAAAGCCGGATGCAGCACTGCCTGTAATTAACAGTGTTCCCAGTGTCCCGTGCTCCTGAATGTGCCAGCATAACACAGTGTCTCAGAATTCTTCTGTTCCTGTGCCCCTTAATGTAAAACATTAACTGGTTTCAGAAGGCGTTCAGCAATGGCAGCCCACATGTTCCCCCACATTTAAGTACACCTGTCTGCTGACTAATGCTGATTTATTTAGGTAAAAATATGTTTGAAACTTACCTAAAATAAGAAATGGAGCATTTGCTACTGTGGCAACAAAAGGCACTCCACATAATAATAACAGACCAAAGCTAGAAAGTACAGCTAACCCAGCTGAAATAACTCCAAAAGAGGCCACCCAAGTTTTATTCCTCACACAGTCACGCCTATAAAGAATTAGAAATACAAGATTTCAGTAAAGGAAATGTGTTTCTAATTTTACAATTTCAGGATTCGGATTTTATTTTTTAAATGGAACTTTAGCCAAAAGTTTAGTTTTAGTTGTCACACAAATGATGTGTTTATCAAAACTTCTATTTTCGAAAACTGCTAATATAAGTACCTGAAGTCTATCTTAATTTGAGCATATCCTACATACCTGGACCCAGGTGTGAGGGTCATTTACTAAAGATGGAGTGTGGGGAACCTGTGTATGATTCAAATATCCAATGAATTTAAAAACTGAGCTTCTCATTAGAACAATTGGGTGTTTGAAATAAACACAACATTCACTTCACATTTTAGTTAGCCGTCTCCATTGATTGTAGGGTTACATAGTTACATAGTATTTGAGGTTGAATAAAGACATAAGTACATCAAGTCCAACCTATTGTGTGTATGCATTTATGTTTGAGCTGTTGTGTACGTGTGTATGAGTCCATGTGTGATTTTGCTTAGCAGTACCTGTACCCCTGTATGTTATGGTTTCCAAGGAAGTCGTCCAAGAGTTTCTTGAATGATTCCACACTCTTAGCTGAAATCACTGCCTGTGGCAGTGAGTTCCAGACCTTAACCGCTCTAACTGAGAAGAACCCCTTGCGCCCCGTGTTCTGAACTTTTTTCTCCACCAATTTTTGGTGGTGGCCTCTAGTCTTTGTTATGGGGTTAACCGTAAAGAGTTTGTTAATAATGTTGCTGTCACCATTGAACATTTTATACAAGAAAATTATTCTTAATCTTAGTCCCACCTTAATCTCCTCACTTCCAAAGAGAACATATTTAATTTTAACAGCCTTGTTTCATAGCTCTGCTCCTCCAACCCCTTAATGAGTTTGGTTGCCCTCCACTGGACTTTTTCCAGCTCAAGGACATCTTTTCTGAGTACTGGTGACCAAAACTGGACCGCATACTCCAGATGAGACCGAACCAGTGATCTGTAAAGTGGCAAAATTATAGACTTGTCCCGGCAATACATTTCCTTCTTAATACAAGACACGACTCTACTTGCTTTGTTTACAGCAGCCTGACACTGTGAGCTATTGTTCAATCTGTGGTCTACAATGACCCCCAAATCTTTCTCCATTACTGACTTCCCTAGTGGCATACCCATAATTGTATAGCCCATTTGCCTATTTTTAACTCCAAAGGGCATTACTTTGCATTTATCGACATTGAACTTCATCTGCTATACAGTTGCCCACTCCCCGTTTTTATCCAGGTCCTCCTGTAATGTCATACTCTCTAAGTCCGTGTCTATTACCTTCCCAAATTTGGTATCATCAGCAAACACTGAAACATGGCTATTCACTCCCTCCCCGATATCATTAATAAACAGGTTGAAAAGCATGGGGCCCAGCACAGAACCCTGAGGCCCACCACTCATGACCTCAGCCCAGTCTGAAAAGGTGCCATTAACCGATACTCTTTGTAAACGTTCCTGTAGCCAGTTTTCTATCCACGTGCACACTCTTTCATCTATGCCCATAGACCTTAGCTTGTATAACAAGCGTTTATGTGGCACCGTATCAAATGCTTTGGAAAAGTCCAGATATACTACGTCCACTGGCCTCCCTCCATCCAGATCTCTACTTACCCCTGCATAAAAGGTTAGCAGGTTGGTCTGGCAAGAACGATCCTTCCTAAATCCATGCTCGTTATCAGTTATTATGCCATTATCCTGAACAAATTCCACGTAGTCCTTAATCATTCCCTCTAACATTTTGCATACTATGGAAGTCAGGCTAACTGGTCTGCAGTTCATGGGTTGGCATCTTGACCCTTTTTTGAATATAGGTACCACATTAGTCCTCCACCAGTCACTTGGCACTCTACCAGTCATTATGGATTCCTTAAAAATGAGGAATAATGGTCTCGTTATTACCTGGCTGAGTTCTTTGAGTACCTTGGGGTGTAGATTTTCAGGTCCTAATGCTTTATATGCATCAAGTTGTTTAAGCCTATGTTGAATCCCGGTTTCCGTCAACCACTGAGGTATATTTACTAAAGATGGAGTGTGGGGAACCTGTGTATGCTTCAAATATCCAATGAATTTAAAAACTGAGCTTCTCATTAGAACAATTGGGTGTTTGAAATAAACACAGCATTCACTTCACATTTTAGTCAGCCGTCGCCATTGATTGTAGGGTTGCCCTATCATTACCCAATTAGCAGACTGGAGGGAGGTGCTGATGACTGACCCTCTGTACTGGTTGTCTACATAGTAGTGGGGTCACCCAACTGATGTGCAGATGTTTGTGAACCACATCCATGGATGCAAGGCAGCTTCTAATATTGTTTTTAGTTTGTGATTATTTGAAATATTGCTGTCATCATTGTTTTAATATATACGAAATGTGCAATATAACATGTCATATTCTCTATATAGTAGAAAATTATAGTAAATATAAACTAATAAAATATCTCAGTATATAGTAGACATGTATAGTAAAATTTAAAAAATCAGGTACAAGAATCTCTGTTAGTGTTGTGCCTACATAATCTTACCTTATACAGGATATAATAGAAAAGAATATAGTAATAAAATATGTGATGGAATACAGAGGAATCACAGATTTCGTTGTCCCTTCAAACTCCTGTTGCCTTGATATTGATGAAAAATAAGATGCCTAGAGGAAAGGAAAACAAATTATTTTATTAGGAACAGTCCCAATCAAATAATGTGACAGCAACTTCATTATTCACTGCTGGGCTGCAATTGATGTAAATTGCTTCTTCTACTTTATGTCTTTATGACAAGCTATGCGCAAAGAACAGAAATCTTTAGTGGTCGAGTGTACATTTAAAAAAAATATTTTTAAAACACATTTTGTTTTCCTGAATTAATGCAATAATTTAAAATATTTTTAGAATATATTTTTTTTCTTGTACTGTACATTCTTTATTTAAAGCTTTCAATGCATAACATAAAAAGGAGTATCCAACAAAAGCAACTTTCAGATATAAATAATCTGCAACATAATACAAATTTCTTCATGTATCGTATTACACTGCCCATTTCTAATTGTATCTCATTCTATTATAACATTTAATATATTTATCTCCTTTACATATATTTATTTTTAGCCAAAATTGCAGCAGGTCCAGGGGGAGCAGGAGAAGATAGGGAGGGAGATAATAAGGAAAAAGATAAAGGCAAGCCTCCTTTTTAGTGAGCACCGCAAATCTAATCTATCAAATGTAAATACAAGATTTATATTAATTTGTGTTGTCGAAGAAAAAAAACAACCAGCAATTCATCTTAAAACCACAGCCTTATAATACAGCTCCAGATAAGGTTGCCCTATACCCCCATCTTGTTTGCGTTTTACCAGGATACTGCATTGCAACCTTGGAGAGGAGAATTTCCAAATGAACCTCAGTAAAGCTGTTCAAAGAGATCTGAAGTATAAAGATTGAACCCTAATAGGCAATGTCTGAAATAAATACAGAAAACAAGGAAGTATATGCATCTTAAATAAAGGGAAATCCTACCAAACGAGGAGTGGGAAAGCTTTACCCATTTTTGTAACCGTTGTTCCGTATTTTGTAGTAACGGGGTATACCGTATTTGCCGGCGTATAAGGCGACTGGGTGAATAAGACGACCCCCTACTTTTCCACTTAAAACATAGGTTTTGGGCTATACTCGTCATATAAGACTACACCACTTCCAAGGCAACACCATTTAAAAACATAATGGATGAATGTGCGGTAATACTGTATGTACGGTAGCTTCGGCTACATACAGTATACCACGCTGAGCAAATCACGGCGAGCGATGTATTCTATTAATGGATACAAAGCCTGCTTGGATTTGCAGAGGTTGTGTACATCGCTCGCCCTAATTGGCTCAGCGTTGTATACTGTATGTAGCCGAAGCTACTGTACATACAGTTTTACCGCACATCCAACGGACTGACAGATTAGGCATGTTTGTTTTGGGCCAACTTGGCCCAAACGAATTAAAGGTATACATTGTATACCCCGCGTATAAGACAACCCCCGATTTTCGGGGGATGTTTTTAAGTATAAAAAGTAGTCTTATACGCCAGCAAATACAGTAATTCAGGGTATATAAGGCATCCAAGTTAGCTGATATATGAACGCCCAAGTAAGTGATGTAATTTGAGGCCCACCAGAATGGAAATACATATTTCAAATGAGTACTTTCTCTGAGGAGCAAAGTAATATCCAATGCTTTTGACTTATGACTTATGAGTGTGTACTTTAAAATCACTAAGGTGGCCAAATAATTCCAGCTCCTGTAACAGAGATGGAAAAGCAATTCTAGGATTAGTGATAAATAGGAAGAGGTTGTCCGCATACATCCCCACCATACATTCATATGGGCCAGTTTGGAATCCCATTATAGAGGGATTCTGGCGAAGCTCTTGCGCAAGATGTTCCATCTCCAAAATATAAAGATGTGGCCAAAAGGGGCATCACTGATGGGTCCTGTTACGAATTTAAACTGATTCTGTCAATGTCCCATTTACTTTTATATGTGCAATGGGAGCTTCATAAAGGGCCATTACTTTACATAGTTACATAGTATTTGAGGTTGAATAAAGACACAGGTCCATCAAGTTCAACCTTTTGTGTGTATGTATGTGATTTTGCATGAGTATGGGTGTGCAGGAGTCCCCGTGTGATCTTATTTTTAAGGGTACCTGTACACCTGTATGTTATGTCTCTGAGGAAATTGTCCAAATGCATACCGAGAGTTTAGTCACAAATGTAGACGGAAGTCCTACTTGTGACAATGTAGATTGTAAATAAGACCAATTTAGGCGATCAAGCACCTTTTCTGCATCTAACGATCAGAGACAAAGGGGAATAGATCTTTTCTGCGCGCAATTGATTTCTGAGATAGTTTTTATCATATTATCTCTTGCCTCTCGGTGTGGTACAAAACCTACTTGATCTAGGTGTATAAGCTGAGGAATATAAATCTTGAACTTATTAGTCAATATCTTCGCATATACTTTCAGGTCTACATTTATCAAAGATATTGGGCGATAACGGCAACATTGCATAGGGTCTTTTCTTGCTTTAGAGATAATTGAGATATGTGCTTCTTGAACTTGTTTATAGAGTTGACATGTATTTAATATAGTATTGAAAGTGGTATGAAGGAAATGAAGCAGTTGATCTTGAAACATCTTATAAAAGGTATTTGTGTACCCATCTGGTCCAGGACTTTGTTAGTTCAAAACTGTAACAGAATGTTAGTTCAAAACTGTAACAAAAAGACTTCAGTAAGCACATATCTGAAAAAAAGAGCCAAAACAGTGTAAATTCGGTCATATTTGAAGAACTCCAGTTTTATTTTAGGATAAATCCATATGGCTGTAGTGTTAAAAAAATAAATTATGATAAATGGTAAAAAAAATAGTGGCATTTGCTGCATTACTTTTAAGTGTAATAATAAAGTATAGGCGTGAACCCATAACAACATCATATATTGTGGATTTTTTAAAAATCCCCTGGACACAATTAGATATTTGAAGTGAAGACAGGTTCACTTCACCTCACTTTAATAAATCACCCATGATAATGATTCCATAAAACCAATCAACCAAAATAGTGCCTAAATAATTAAATTATTGGTTATCTATTAGTTGCTTATCTATCCATCTATTGATCTATCCATTGATGTCTCCATTTATTTCTATCTATCAATATACATTTCTCTCTATTGATATTTCTATGTGTCTGTCTATCTCTGTGTGTACCCTTTTCAAGAAATAATTTAAATAGGAATAACAAAACTATTTTCCTTACCTTTACATTCTTTAGTTGTAATATTTCGATATTCTGAGATGCATATTTGATAAAGTGCTCGATCCATTGCAGGCTTCTTTCTCGGTCTTGCTGGTTGTCTTCTCTCAGATAATACACTAATCTTACTGCTTTTGCACTCTGTACAGTGTTGTTGGGGTTCAGTTTCACCCCACCCAGGGATGTTCCCAGGAATGTTCTCCCTTCAAATAAGGGATAACTAATATTTAATGTCTCTATCAGATTTACATTACTTTGTACTTTGGATAAGAGTGGATTGATTGCGGCACATTCATCCAGCTGGACCTTTGTGCAGAGATGCTGGAAGTTCAAGATCACATTAGCATTATTTTTTGTTATTGTGATGTTCAGATTCTGCACCATCTCATCAAGCTTCACAAGCTCTCTGAATGAATCAACATTTATGATATTATCAGACAGACTGACAGCAATAATGGAGAGAAAGGAGCCTTCTGTATAAAGTCTCTGTGCAGAGAAATGCCCTGAGTCATTAGTTGGGAAGTGTGTCCTCACAAATTCTCTCTCAGATTTAGCTGGACCTCCAACCGGGGTGAACTCATTTTCTATGTCATTAGCCTCCCTCTGAGGTAAAAAGTAAAATCCGGCTCCCAGACCAGCAGATATGACCATGGGAATTAAGAAGAACCACCATGGGTACCTGCCCACCACTTTCCCAAACTTGTAGAATGCTAAAGAGAGAGGTTTCTGTATACAGTCTGTCCGACAGCGAGCCATTCTATTCACTCAGTCAGCTACTGAGTGATACCGACAGAGAGACGAAAGCAGGATCTGTTAATAATAAATGAAAATATTAATTGACAACAGATAATGTTGTGACTAGCCCTGTACTGCTTCAGAACAATAAAACAATTCAGTTCCAAGGAATTTTATTGACTTTCTACTGTAATACAGTTACATTGAACCAACTGACCTTTGTATCTGTATTCCAAAGAAAAAACTTGTCATTTACAGCATATTTACATAATGGATTTTCATTTTTTTATATATTTTAACCACTTCAACTCCTGCAGATCAGAGCAATATGTACATATCTGCTATGACAAAAAGAGCATTTTTTCCCCATACCCTTTGACATATTGTTCATAATTTTTACTGATGAGATTTCCTTTCCCATGTCTCTATGCTTTGATATGCACTAAAGCAATTTATAACCATTATGTTTATTTATATCAAGTGCTATGCTACAGGAAGGAATTAACAAAACAAAGGAAATGCAGCAGTGACACAGCTGTCATACTAACAGATGGTCCCAGTGATTTTGCAAGGTAGCAGCAGAGAAGGCAAACCAGGGCATACAAGGTACACCCAAGCTCGCTCCCATGATAGAATACAATGTCATGTTTAATTTACTAAATTGTATTGAAGTTTAAGTCTATCAAGGGAGTGACCTTGGAGCGGTGGCTACTTTACAACACACACAGGGACCATGGGGAACAAAAGTAGCCCCCCCTCCAGAAGAAAGGACAGTGTCACCACCAATTCAGAGATGATCTGAGGATCTATAGCTGAGTGATACACAAATAACATAAATTTGTGTTCATAGTAAGGGTGCTTGAATGCATTTTTAAGATTTAATTCTGGAGTTTAATGTCAACCCGCAGATGTAGCAGTGCCGTCCGTCCGTTTTTTTTACTACGGGCGGACGGCAAGAGGTTAAACTTACTTACCAGATGTAGCGGCAGTTTAGAGTGGGGGGATGTCCTTTCCTCTGCTGTGTCATGTGACAGAAGCCAAGAAGGAGCCTCCAGCTCTGAACTGCCACTGTCAAGCAGGGAGAACCGCTGCTGCAGTGCAAATTACACAAAAAAATTTCAGCGGTGGCCCCAAAACCCCTGAGTGTCAGCACCTGGTGCCGACTGCAGCCCCCTAGGTACGCCACTTACAGAAATTTAAAACTAAAATACGCCACTTACAGAAATATAAAGCTAAAATACAGGATAGGAGCACAACAACCTTGTGCGTTAAATGACACCAAAGGACAGACACCAGAGGTCCTTAAGCCAGTCCTGACCAGCAGGTGGAAGGGGATCTGTTAACCCACTCTTCTCCTCAATCACATGGAAATGCAAAGGACAGTACTCAAAAACACCCTATAAACCGTGAATTAATAAATAGAAACACCAGGCACAGAAAGGTGGCATAGAATTGGCCACAGCATTTGTTATTGGTTAACATTAAATATAATGAATTTTAATTAAAATAGATAACTAATGCTTGGTAGTGACTTAGCTCCGCGCCACCTGGGCACTTTCTCCCAAATTATGGACGTACATCTTTGCCTCTTATCTGGCTAGCCAGCATGACTGAGTCTCCTGGGTCGGCTACACACCCGCAAGATGCACAAAACTCCTAAAACTAAACTACGTTGGAGATCAAAATCCCCTTCTCAACCTCTACCCAAGATGGCACCTGATCCTCCTGCTCTGGATGAGATTACGAGACTTTCTTCTAATGAAAGTTTCCTTTTGCTTTGCTACCCACTCTGGACCAGCCTGATGAATTGCTACTCCACAAATTCCAATCAGTCTTCAGAGAAGAAATAGCCACGGCTTCTAAACGGCTCTCCATGGAACTCCTCCGGGAAATTAAAGATCTGGGTCTTCGCCCCTGCTCTCTGGAACATTGCATGGATGACACTACCAAGGTGCTTGAGGGCCATGAGAAGGAGGTGAAAACTTTTAGAGATGAAATGGAACAATTGAGAGACAAGCAGGAAGACGCTGAGAACCGAGAACGCCGAGATAACCTGCGACTCTGCGGTTTACCGGAAACCATCACTGACCTGGTTGGGATGGCGGCACCTTTCTTCCTAGAACTGGTCCTGGATCTCCCCCTGAATCGCCTAGAATTCGATCGGATCCATCATGCATTGACATGCAGACAACCCGATGGACCCCCTCGGGATGTGATCATCAAGTTTCATTATTACCGCACCAAGGAACGTCTGCAGCAAGCAGTTCGGGATCGACAGGATCTTATTTTTCAGAATCATAACCTACAACTCTATGCGGACCTAGCACCATCTACAATTGCTAAGGGGCGAAACCTGAAGCCCTATCTTCAAGTGCTGCAAGCCAACAATGTGGGATACCACTGGGGTTTCCCCTTTAAGCTGTTTAATATCAGGACCAACCGTATCAAGCATAATTCCAGGTTGATCTGCGCAAATGTTTCCGAAGCCTGGGATTTGATCTTCCAGAACGGGTCTCCACATCACAGATCTCTTCTCTCAGCTCCCATGCTCCATCTCAGCCGAAGGCAGCTCCCCCGCGGCTGTCCCCATTAACAGAATCCCGTGGCTCCCAAGCTTTGCGATGCCTGAGATCTCAAGCTTTTCAAGGATCCTCAGATGGGATACTATCCGTAAAATATCTGCATCTGCCTTTTCTACTTGGCCCTTGAGGTCTAACCAGGGTATTGCTGTTACTCTATCTCTGTCACTCAGTTATTTAAGTGATAATGTTTTCAGTTAACTTTTTCACTGTTTTGAATGTTATATACTTTACTTCGGAACGTTGGGAATTTTCCTACTGATCAGTTCTTCTTACGCCCACCCCCCTCCCCCTTTTTTTCATCAGACACCCCCTTTCTATATTGATGGTTGCGGTGATGTACTATCTGTTTGTAGGACCACTTATTTGAAACCCCCCCACCCCTTTTTTTTAATATTCCCATGTCTTTTTACATTATACCCTGTATCTCACTATTGGTACGAATATATTCTGCCAGTCTGCAAGTTCCCGGAACTCCTTAATGTTATAATTAATTGAAGCTAGCATAAAATTTCATAAAACTGGCTTGATATTAAGTACTGGATGTTGTGTAATTTTGGATCTTTTGGGTGCCTCCCTCTCCTTTTCTTCCCCCTCCACTCTCCCTCTTTTATTTCACATAGGGGGTCCCTTGACTTTATGTGTGTGTGTGTGTGTGTGTGCGTGTGTGCGTGTGTGCGTGTGTGCGTGTGTGCGTGTGTGCGTGTGTGTGTGTGTGTGTGGTCGGGGCACATTATTACATTGATTGTGAGCCTCTCAAAGTGCTCCTTGCTCTGTTCCACATTTATAGTACTGTGTCCTCCCTCTATCTCCCACCCCCTTTCTGTTCTGCTTTTTGTAATACACATCACTTCTGCATTCACAGCCCGGACGGAGATCAGCAAGGAGCTGATCTCCCGTCCTCCTCCTGACGCCCTCGGAGCCGGTCCCGGGATCCAAGATGGGGCAGCGGATCCCGGGAATCAAGGTGAGGGGTCAGGGGGGGTGCCGCGAACGAGCACATATAGGCGATCTATATGTGAAACACCCGGTAACGGGTGTGTTTAATTGTCGGGTCTTTTCTGCCCGTGCGTGCCCGCTAGGGGGCGTGCGCGAGCAGAAAAAAATTGCCGTTTGGAGACGGCAACCCGCAGATGTAGCAGTGCCGTCCGTCCGTTTTTTTTACTACGGGCGGACGGCAAGAGGTTAAACTTACTTACCAGATGTAGCGGCAGTTTAGAGTGGGGGGATGTCCTTTCCTCTGCTGTGTCATGTGACAGAAGCCAAGAAGGAGCCTCCAGCTCTGAACTGCCACTGTCAAGCAGGGAGAACCGCTGCTGCAGTGCAAATTACACAAAAAAATTTCAGCGGTGGCCCCAAAACCCCTGAGTGTCAGCACCTGGTGCCGACTGCAGCCCCCTAGGTACGCCACTTACAGAAATTTAAAACTAAAATACGCCACTTACAGAAATATAAAGCTAAAATACAGGATAGGAGCACAACAACCTTGTGCGTTAAATGACACCAAAGGACAGACACCAGAGGTCCTTAAGCCAGTCCTGACCAGCAGGTGGAAGGGGATCTGTTAACCCACTCTTCTCCTCAATCACATGGAAATGCAAAGGACAGTACTCAAAAACACCCTATAAACCGTGAATTAATAAATAGAAACACCAGGCACAGAAAGGTGGCATAGAATTGGCCACAGCATTTGTTATTGGTTAACATTAAATATAATGAATTTTAATTAAAATAGATAACTAATGCTTGGTAGTGACTTAGCTCCGCGCCACCTGGGCACTTTCTCCCAAATTATGGACGTACATCTTTGCCTCTTATCTGGCTAGCCAGCATGACTGAGTCTCCTGGGTCGGCTACACACCCGCAAGATGCACAAAACTCCTAAAACTAAACTACGTTGGAGATCAAAATCCCCTTCTCAACCTCTACCCAAGATGGCACCTGATCCTCCTGCTCTGGATGAGATTACGAGACTTTCTTCTAATGAAAGTTTCCTTTTGCTTTGCTACCCACTCTGGACCAGCCTGATGAATTGCTACTCCACAAATTCCAATCAGTCTTCAGAGAAGAAATAGCCACGGCTTCTAAACGGCTCTCCATGGAACTCCTCCGGGAAATTAAAGATCTGGGTCTTCGCCCCTGCTCTCTGGAACATTGCATGGATGACACTACCAAGGTGCTTGAGGGCCATGAGAAGGAGGTGAAAACTTTTAGAGATGAAATGGAACAATTGAGAGACAAGCAGGAAGACGCTGAGAACCGAGAACGCCGAGATAACCTGCGACTCTGCGGTTTACCGGAAACCATCACTGACCTGGTTGGGATGGCGGCACCTTTCTTCCTAGAACTGGTCCTGGATCTCCCCCTGAATCGCCTAGAATTCGATCGGATCCATCATGCATTGACATGCAGACAACCCGATGGACCCCCTCGGGATGTGAT